GGATTGTTTTAAGTACCTTGCTGTTGTTTTTCATATTCTAACGATGTTAAAAAATAGTCGCCATCTTGTAAACTTTTTCTCGACTTAGGAACGACCAAAATTGTAAGTGTAAATGGGCTTAAGACACTGAAAAGATTCGTACTACACCTTAAGTTTCCTAATTAGCAAAACTCTTAGCAAACTAAAGGTCTTAGATTGGTGATCTTCAAAGACTGAAATTCTTCGAAGATCACCAGTCTAAGCCCTCACGATGTATAGGCCTATATTTTCTATTAACTAGGGATATATAGCTAAAACCGAACTACCAAACCGCGCAAGTGTTTTTCCGGGCCGGGCATCCAAATGCCTTACTAAACTCAGGAAAGTTGGACAGTGGAACTCGTACTCTGAAATTTAAAGCAAAAAACCAAATTAATATACGTTAGGGGATGATCATGTGCTAGGTTTATACTGTATCACACATGATTGTCAACCGTCAACTTCAAATGTATAGACACTTTTGGGCACTGATCTCCAAACTAGGGCTGGATAGAGCAATTAGCCTGTTGAATTCAGGGAATTGATTTTGAAGCCAGAATATTTATAATGAGGATAGATTTTTAGAACCACTGAATATTTTCAAAGAATACAAAACAAGTGCATGTAACTCCAAAGATCGATCTTTGGAGCTACACTTGTTTTGTATAGATTCTTAAATCTGTCACACTCCTTATGAACCAAATCGTTATACGTGTTTAAATTAGTTGTGCTATCAAGCTGATATTATCGTTTTCTACGAAATTAGAAAGATATAGCTTCTCACATCTCTTCTAATGAGTTTTAGATCCTTCAGTACATTTAGTATCGAACTTTCCCTTTGCCTCATTTGAATAATATATTATTTTGTTTTTGATAATGGCCAATAACAAGGCTTAAATTTTTTATTTAATTTAATACGACGTTTCGGAGTTTACTCCATCATCAGGTAAAAACTATTCAAATTTGCCAAAATGGCAAATTTCAGTTTTTACCTGATGATGGAGTAAACTCCGAAACGTCGTATTAAATTAAGTAAAAAATTTAAGCCTTGTTATTGGTCATTATAAAAAACAAAAGAGTTTTAGATCGTTTCAAACACGAGATAACGAGACTTGAGGCAGCCATATTGGTGTAATCTCATTAATTATTCACTGGCAAATTTCAGAAGGAAGAGAGGTAACCAATACCCGTTTTCTCTTTAGGCAATATTTTTTTATTATATTAATTACTATACAAATTACCAAAAACTTCAAGAACTTCTTCTAACATGTCAATAACACCATCACGATTTCGGGATCGTGGGGTACATTTGACTGTACGACTTATCAAATTTTGCCCTTATTACATTACTACAAAGTTTCTTTCGAAACATTGCATTACAAGGGTACTTGACACAGAGATGAATGGTAATCACTGTTTCAATTTTAAAGTGTAGACCCTAAGCAACACATAGAAATTTGAAGTCAAATTTTTACTTTGATCTATTATTTTGACTTTTCCCAAGGGCCGAAAAGTGTAAAAAGTCTCAAGGAGGTGCCGGGTACAAAACAATCTCAGGGTTGATTGCTCACCTGACAGGATTCAGAGAATGTACGTCCTTATCCATCAGAGTCTTTGCAAATTCTTTTGTATATTTTGAACACCATAACTACACGTGTAAAAAATTGTCGATTTAAGACAAAAGCTTAGATGCATGTGCCCTGTAATTCCCGATGGTAACGAGCGTGCGAAGGAGACATGGATATAAAAGACATATACCGCTGGCTTGTTCTAAAATACACCAATCTGAAGATAGAAGTTCAGGTAACTTCGCCTGGTTTAGCCTCTATTTTATATGACGCATGTCGCTTAGAATATAAACTGATATGGAGCTGATCTGGGATAATTACTGCATAAATGATTGTCTGATTTTGTACTCGTCAGTATTGGAAGACATTTCGTAATTCAATAAATAGATACATAAATAAATAGATAAATACAGGACTATGGCCTGCGAAGAAATAGGCCCATATGGGAAAGGGGGCTTAAACTCCTTCAAGATCTGTTACATTACAGTGTGTTTAATATTTTGCTGCCTGAAATACAAAATGAACAAAAAACTACTTTATGCATGTCCAGTCCTCCCTATGCCGCAATACCATTTAAGAAATTCTCTTATCCATTTTCAGCCGATAATTTGAAAAAAGTGTAGGAATAAAATAAACTGTAACTTGCAAAAATCTGGCTTTGCTCGTTCAAAAGATGCAGAGAGAGCATATTGAAAGCTGTAAACAAGCCAATTCTGAGAACTACTGCGCATTAATTGCAGTTGAACAACAAGGGGGAATTTCGTTCTCGACCAATCAGCGCTTTTGTTTACATTTTTACCCTAAGCCAATCAGAATGCGTAAAACGCTTCATCACATGAAATTTGTAAACAAACATATGGGGTTACTTCAGAGCTTTTCTGCAAGCGGTTTTTTGGTTTTTTGCCATGAAATTCATATGTGTTGTTCTTAAAAGAATTCTCCTCAACTTCCTCGTGGCGATTTTTGATTAATTGCGTGATTGCGAAGATATGGGTCTTCAAACTTTGCCTTGCGCAAGCTTAAATACCACCCCTCGAATTTGTAGGTTCCGAACGGATTAGCGTTTTTAAAAGCCTTTCAAATCGAGGTTTGAGACGTTTTATTTTTTAAAAGATACTTTTATCTTCATATTTTCACATTTGTGTAACAAGTAAACAGGACATTTCCGGGCTGGGACAAGTTGACATGTCGATTTCTTGCCAAATAGCGTGGCGATCAATATGGCGAATATCTAAATACAGTGAATTTTTAAAATTTTGTTGGTATAAATGGGATAAAGAAGCTCATCAAATATTTGGACTATGGACCTTCAAACTTATGCCAAGTATTTATTCGATTGATTAGCTCAATAACTGTTTTTTGGCTCGTTTTTCGTCGATTTCGACATTTAGTCGAGCTTAGTCGACTTCAAAATAATGTGTCAACATTGCGTGTTGCACCCTGTGGACATGAATATTTTCGTTTGTTTAACAATAACAATTGTCTTCATTGGTTTTAATCCTTGATTGACAATATATTCATTGGTCTCAGAGTTCTAAACTTAAGGAAGATGGATGACATTGGGACAGAATGATTTTGTTCAATGTTGCTGTTCAGGTATCAAAATTTATGGACATATACCTGTATATGAACTTCATTGCTTTTTTACTTCATCTGGCTCACTTGTCACAATTGGGCCCTGTTCATATTACCTGGCTAGGTAGGAGACGACATTTGCCAGTATGTTCTATCCTATCCTGCTACTATCGGCCTAGCTAAGCGTGAGGTTTCCATTGCCAGAATCCTGGCTATATGTAAGCCAAGAAATTCACCATATACAATAAGCACTGTATACCAAACAGGCAACATGAATTAGGCTTCAAGCATGTGTTCTGGATAGTCTAGATCATATAAACAGGTCCCCAATAGATCCCGATCTACTATAATTGAAACATTTTAGTCCATAAATTTGTGCATTACCAGAATACCTGTGCACAAATGAATATTTTACACATATTATATAATGCAATCCAATATTGAGCCCCCAGTAACCTCACAAATAGGCCTCCCTTCTAAAAATCAGATCTCCCTTCCAAAAATAAGCTCTTCCTGTTAAGGGCTGTCAAAATGGGCCATGTTAGCCCAGCAAACATGGCTGGATTTTCTTTTCAGGGCTAGTTTGTCATTTGCCTCACAGGAGCCAGGCTAACCTGGCAACTGTTGTCAAGAAATTTGTGTGAAATGCTGGTTAATTTGTTAATGACAACAGCTTCAGAAGGCTTATATTAATCAATTTCTTACTTACTTGGGCCAAATTGTGTATTATAACATGATTTTTAGTCGAGTGAGCTGGTTGGCCAGCTTATGACCTTTATTAGTGTGAGACTCCCAATGCAGGATATCAACTTGCTCAAGCAAATGCCGGGCCAATAAATTCAACCAGGCTGTTTCATGTGAATGCAATCTCAAACATATATAAAATTAATATAGGAGGCAGTATCTTACCATGGGCAGGTGTATATTTAGCCCATATAAAAGGGCAAGACCAGCTTGCATGCCCAGTGTGATATTATACTACTGACAATACCTGGTTGATTCTACAAGATTATGGCCTAAAATGTTCCAATTGTAGTTTCAGGATCTGCTAAGGGTCTGTTGATATGATCTGGGCTAGGCAGCATGGGACCCTAAAGGCAAGTTCATGTTGCCTGTTTGTGGGATAGAATGTTTACTGTAAATGGTGAATTTCTTGGCTTGCATAGTTGGGATTCTGGCAACGGATACCTTGTGCTTAGCCAGGATAGTAGCAGGATAGTATATCGGCAATACTGGCAAATGTTGTCTCCCGCCTAGCCAGGTCATAAGAACAGGCCCCATTTGTGACTAGTGGGCCAGATTAAGGAAGAAACAATGAGGGTCCTATGACTATGCTCTGTGACTATATATGTCCATAAATTTTGATATCTGAACAAAATTTTGATATCTGTCCCAAAGTCATCCATCTTCCTTAAGTTTAGGACTCTGAGACCAATGAATATATTGTCATTCAAGGATTAAAAACAGTGAAGAAAAGTGTTATGGTCAAACAAACGAAAATATTCATATCCACAGGCTGCAACACGCAATGTTGACACATTATTTTGAAGTCGACTAAATGTCGAAATCGACGAAAAACGAGCCAAAAAACAGTTATTGAGCTAATCAATCAAATAAATACTTGGCATAAGTTTGAAGGTCCATAGTCCAAATATTTGATGAGCTTCTTTATCCCATTTATACCAACAACATTTTAAAAATTCCCTGTATTTAGATATTCGCCATATTGATCGCCACGCTGTTTGGCAAGAAATCGACATGTCAACTTGTCGCAGCCCGGAAATGTCCTGTTTACTTGTTACACAGGATATTAATAAGTTAATGTTAAAATATGAAGATAAAAGTATCTTTTAAAAAATAAAACGTCTCAAACCTCGATTTGAAAG